TATCCTTCCCACCAAGCTAAATGCAGCAAAAAAATTGTCAACAGCTAGCCTTGGTTGGAAACATTCTGAATATAAGGAGGATTGCACAGTTTATACTCTCCACGGAACGCACACAAAGAGAAATACAGATAGATGGACAGGCAACAGACAGGCAGACAGACAGGCAGACAGACAGGCAGATAGACAGATATACAGGCAGGCGTAGATGCACATGTAGACGGACAGGCGGATGCATTACGTGTACTTGTAGACAAGAGCCCAAAGCTGAAGTCCACACGCTGATCGACGGTGTATCATCAGTGGAAGAGTCCCCATTCACAGGCAATACAGTTATGGTACCTACCTACATGGGCGACAAACTACCTCAGCTGCAGTTTCCTACTGTACCAGATATTGGAATACGTGGAGAAGTCAAGCGGCCTCGGTGTGCTGGCCTTGCAGCCGCTAGCACTGCTAGTCCATTCTTACAGTGTGTGCATGAACTACAGACTCAGTGCATGCACGCGCTAAAAGCATTATGGGCACCCGGCCCCTGTCATCCCAACCGATTTCAATGTCCACGGCAATAGCTTCTTTACCGACCTTCAAGGATGTTTCCACAGCTTTGATTTCATGGTTGATGACAGCAAGGTGCAGGCATGTCCTGTCGCAGGCATCACGTGCTTGAATGGCTGCATGGAATCGGTGTAGAGCCGTCATGATGGATACGTGCCCATGTGAAGCAGCCACCAACAGTGGAGTCTTGCCATTGGCGTCGTGAGCATCCACTTTGGTGTTCTCCTGCAGCATATTGCAAATTACACAAGTGAAACCTACTGGACAATGCGATAACACATTCTAAGCAACTGCCCATCTCTCATTTAAACACATCCGTCCAGTGCAATTCATGCACACGCACACACGCACATCAGGGGGCTTGCACATGCACGCGCATGCGCGCGTGCACACACACACACACCTAGTATTTGCTTCTGGATTGGAATTCCATGTGCTCATATTGGTTGAACCCAACCCAAAAGTGACTAGTGGTTAATAGAGGTCTAACAGGACTAGCGTGCTGCACTACAGGTTCAGTGACTAGCATCTATGTAGATTCTATATTTATGCCAAGGTGTACATGCCGATAGCCATGCTGAAGAGCCACTGTGCAGGGAGAGAATGTAGTGAACACGGAGTAACACAATGTATTAGGCAAGGATAAGCAGTAGCATTCGGCCGTGTACAGATGTTTTTTGAGTGGTGGTTGATGGAAGAGAAAAACAACCGTAAATGTTTCTTATGATATTGACCCTGCGAAAGAATATGCACCTACACCTTGTGAAAGGAGAAAGTTGACAATGCCCAGTCGGTTGAACTTGGTGGCCCTGGTACAATACAAAAGAGAAAAAGAAACAATTTTCGTACAGGACTGGGGTATCCATGCTGTATACAGCAGGGTTCTAGCCAGGTCAGAATAGTAGGGGGGGGGGGGGGCAAGGAAAACAGTTACCCCGGAACCCATTTTTCCATTTTCACAATAAGTTAACCGTCGTGCAATGCGAAATGCAACGAACGGGCCGAACACCTGACTTCACCCTAGACAAAGGTTCCTTTATGGACCCTCAAGTACCGACTATCAACTGCATTTTTGTTCAATGGCATGAAAAAACGCAAAAATCGGAAAATGAGTTGGGGGCGGCACTTTTTCACAGGGGGCATGCAAACAGAGTAGCCCCTCCCCCCCCCCCCTGGCTAGAACCCTGTACAGTAAAAACCTGTCAAGGCGACCACCCGGATAAGGCCACCACCTGTCCTAGAAGACCATTGCAGCCTGGACCAAGGGATGCTATTTCCAGCCAAATGACCCTGGATAAGTAGACCACCTGATCACATTGTGAAAGTCCCTTGAGCGGTTGTCTTAGACAGGTTTCACTCTACTGTGCTGAGCCTGCAGCCTTGTGTGTGCCACAACCAAAAGAAAAAGAAAGTTGATGTCCACATACATGTACCTGTGTAGTGGTGTCATCCTCTCGAAATCGGGGCTATTCAGCTTGGCGCCACCAGCTGCCAACATCTTGACCACCTCTTCATGACCATTCACTGCTGCCAGGTGCAGTGGGGTTGCAAAGAACGACTGCACACATTCACGTGATATCCATCAGAACTAAACGTGATCATTATGGACTTCAAATTATTATTAGTTGGCAAGAAGAGTATTTCTTGGCTCACTGCACTCTTAGTTGAGAATACTTACTACTACATAATATTATGTTAAGGATCAGGTATTGCACAGCATAATAAACATGAGCAACACATGAAAAAAGACAAAGAACACTAAGATGCACACATGCCCACACACAGTTTAAGGTGAGGTGAAATATAATGCAATGCTATGCGTTCACTGTTTCAACTAATAGTACACACACACACACACACACACACACACACACACACACACACACACACACACACACACACACACACAAACACACACACACACACATACACATACACACACACACACACACACACACACACACACACACACACACACACACACATGCACCAGTACACAGATATATGGTTGTCATATGGCTTACATTGTGAGCATTGATGTCAGCAAGTTCCTGGAGGCACAGTTGAACAACCTGCGACCAGTAAAGCAAGAACAACAACCAGTGAAGGTTACCCAGAGTCGTTCATTACAGGAGCCTGGGAAACAGACAATACCGAGCCAAGGGTCTGGGACCATAATGATAATTGCAAGACGACTAACAAGGTCGGTCTAGGCAGCTAACTGTAAGACCACATAATTATTGTAACGCCAATTAAAGTTAACGATATCCAAATTTAGGTTGGTTAGCGAGGTGAAATGTTAACGAATTCTGACTATCAAAACCATGCATGGCTGTACATGTATGAAGGATAACTGCTGATCTTGCTTGCATGCATTGGTCTAATACTGATGACTGTGGTGTCATGTATTTAGAGTCTAGTGCACGGTATTGCTTTGTGGTACAAGTATTACATTGTTCATGATATTCGTTACAACAGTGTATGCTCTGCGTAGATAAGTAGATTGGGTTGCAAGGATAGCATGTTAGAAATAATTGATTGGAACATCTGGGCCGCTCAATTACGTTAAGAGCACACTCTCATCATTGTTAACAACATTGTTGATCATACGGGTCAGATCCTAGTGTTTACCTAGTCATGTAATTTCTCGTGCTGCTGTGTTCAGCTGGTTGGACTACTCTAATAGTAATACCTTAATTACTAGCCTTCGATAGCACGTGCGAGTGCGGGCTTTTGCTGCGCAACTGGTATACCCCACAGTGTATTTAGAATAGTCTTCAATAATAATCTAGTTCAGTGAGTTTCACTACTTCCTAGAACCAGTACAAGAAACACCAGGTCCTGAGATTGTGCGGTGGGCGTGCGTGTACGTGCCGTAGAAGAGTCTGATGGTCTTTCCCCTTCATGTACATCGTTTTGCATATAACGATATCAAAATTTAACGAACTGTTTAAAATGCGTCAAGACGTTAGAATTAAGTGTCCGTTAATATCAGTGATCTTACGGTATGAGTCCATTAGCAAAACCGCGTTATGCACTTATGCAGTTATGCACAGAAGGGTAAACCCTCTCTGCAAACCACTTAGAATGCTGCGGGAGATTGACCTGCCTGCTGCCTGGTGTAAAGCTACAAATACTACACACGCTCTTCACTACGTGCATTTGGTAAACACAGCTATAGGACAGTGATAGTACAATGCAGTCATGCATGGCCATTTCGGTTAGGGATTCAACTGCATACTGCAGCACACATGCCTGGGTATGCCCATTCTGGGCAGCAAGGTGTAGACAAGTGTTGCCTTCATTGTCTCGGTCAGCCATCATTTGCCGTCGCTGTGACTCGGGATCTAGATAATCCAGCAACAATGTGCACATACCAGAGTGACATCATACATGACCATGCTGCATGGATAATGATGTCATGCATGTACATGCTGCATGGTTAATGACATCATACATGTACGCGCTGCATGGATAATGACACCATACGTGTACATGCTGCATGGATAGTGACATCATACATGTACGCACTGCATGGATAACGACATCATACATGTACATGCTGCATGGATAATGACATCATACATGAACATGCTGCATGGATAATGACATCATACATGTTCACGCTGCATGGATTATGTCATAATCGCTTTATTGGCATCATCATGACTAGTTTTATAGCCTCAGCACCCCAGAAAGTACAGGGTCATTTACAACCTTGCCGAGTCTACGTCATGCGCTCCCTCCCCCCCCCTACTCCGACTGTCACCGCAGGTATGCTCTTATTACGATAAGGTTCCAGAGAGGAAGCAGATATAACAATTTGGAAATGCTGGGGGTATATTATGTACATGCATAGCTCTCTATCCAGGAGGCATTCCGTGCACAGAATTCACGTATCCAGGAGGCATTCAGTGCACAGAATTCACGTATCCAGGAGGCATTCAGTGCACAGAATTCACGTATCCAGGAGGCATTCAGTGCACAGAATTCACTGCACGCTGCACATGAGGTCCGCAGGCCAACAGCTGAAGCTTACCAAAGATCTTGTTCTTCAGAATTATCTTGAGAACAGATACGAAGCCTTCCTTTGCAGCCAGATGGTATGGCGTTTCCTTGTTGTTGTTCTTGTGAAGAGGACTGGCACCATGTTCAAGCTGACAAACACAAATGAGACCCGAATACAATCTTAGGCAACAAGAGCAGAATCATTGAAATCTACTGTGATAAATTTATCCATGCGCACATGATCTATCCATGGCTATCCATGGGAGTACGGTAAAATCACAATGAAATCCAGAGCTGCTCACCAGAAAATTAGCGACTTCCGCGTTTCCCGACATGCATGAGTGATGGAGTGCCGTATTGCCATGGAAATCAGGTGACTCTATGTGTAGAGCACCACTCTTGTTCAACTCCTGTTCAAGAAAAGAAAGATACGCCCAAGTACTGCCAGGAAGCCAAAGTTTCCAAAGGTATCAACCATCCCCCAATTCAATCAAGCTATGAAAATCAGAGCTCGCACAACTTCAAGACACATAACCGTATTGTTAGCAGCCCGGCGGTCCGGCCAGCAACGTTCCATTTGCAAACATCTGATGGCTCAATATGCATGTGCATGTGTGTGCATGTGTGTGCATGTGTGTGCATGTGTGTGCATGTGTGTGCATGTGTGTGCATGTGCACAGTGCATGGCCCTACTACTACCGTTCTAGCACAGTTATCAGCTATCAGCCAGTCATCAGCCAGTATGTATTCGAGGAAAGTGGCCTGTCGATCTTGGAACCCCACCGCAATGAAGGAAGGTTGCCCTCCCCAAATGTCTGTTTGGGAAGAAAGCTGTTATAGAGTGTGCCTTTTAGCCAACCTGATTTTTTTAATACATTTAGTTGGCTGGATTAGAGCGAGTCATCTGACTTGGCATTTTGCTACTTTTGCCATAATGGTGCTAACAACGAGGGCAAACTCAAGTCAACTTCAAAGGGTGCTGTTTTCATATTGACAGGGTCTCACAAACTAGAAGGACGCAACTGAAGCAATCAAGAAGCATGAAGATCAAAGTGATGATCACAGTATGATTGATCACTCTATCCCACAGTACTTCTGATGTTGGTGAGCTACTGTCAACAACCCATGACAAGAAGAAATGAGAACATCGTAAGATGAATACATATTCATAATCTCCAAAAGATGCTAGGAACAAAACGCACTGGAAACAAAAGCACAGAGATCTGAGTACCCACATTCTTGGTCTTCACTTATCACAAAGATGTTCTGCTCTACATCCATGCAAAGAAATCATGTGTAATGTGTACGGGGAATTGCCCGCTTCAAATTGGGTAGTTTTCTCCTACGACCTACTTCGGTACGCAGCAGATCTGTACGACGTATGCACTGCGGCCAACTACCCTTCAATTTGGGTATTGTTGCTATTGCTGTCTATGCCTCTGTGTATGCCAGTATACCGGTATGTGGAGCGAGAACCATAGTACGCTAGCCATATCCCTTACACTATATATTTACATTGAAATACCGTGGATTCAATGACAATGTGCATTGTACATGTGGTATGGGATGTTCTGCATGTACTTTAGTTCTGTCATTATTCATTGGTGTCGGTGCTTGTGGTGGTGGTGGTGGTCACTGTGGCATACCTTCAGCACTGCGGAATGTCCACGGCGTGCAGCCACATGAGATGGCAGCATGCCGTACATGTCCGGCAGGTCAGTTCTGGCACCCGGGTGCTGACAAAGAATGCCCACCACGTCTGGACGGTTACACTTGGCAGCTAGAAACAGTGGAGTACGCTCTTCATCTCCTTGGATGTTGGCATCTGGCAGACACAGCAATACCAATTTCAATACCAATTTCCACATTACTTGTTAACGGCTTAGAGAACACAATATGTTCAACGCATAAATGCCGGTGTCAGCTGGTCCTAGCAAAGATCCGGTATTAGGTAGTTCTGTGTGTAGCAGGGAAGGCTCCTAATCGTTCCGGGCGGCACCTTGCATGCAGATGTGACAAAGAACTGAGGCTGCTGGCCAGGGCTCACACATGCCACGCCCAGCTGGATGAACTGAGGAAACTAGCGGGTGATCACAAGGAATGGAAGATCATTTCAGGAACGTCAAAACGCTGTATTCGGCAATTACACCGATTGGACAAAGAAAGCTAGGTAACAAGAGTGCAAGCACACGTGTGCTACCTGCTCTACATATCAATGATCGTTATTATGCAGCAGGGATTCAGGGATTCAGTTGGGCAATACTAATGTGACAACATTTCCAAAATACCGTGAAGTCGTGTATAAAAGCACACTTATAATTACGACTTTTTGGGGAAATTTTGCAGGCTTCTATTACTGTATGAGACAGGCTTCTATACAAGACATGTTCTATGAGTAGTATGTATAAAGCCGGTTTGATGGTTGGGCCATCCCCCCAGCCCTCAAAAATGGGGTACTATTGATTCTATGTGTATCAACACTAAAACCAGGCTTATGTGCCAACAGTGCATCTCAAAAAATCAGGCTTGTATTCAAACAGGCTTCTAAATGAGACAGGCTTTTATCATACACACAAGACACTACGGTAGACGTACGGATAGAAAATCCTTGCAAACCCTAGGTGACCCTGGGTTGTAATACGGCACCATGTGCTAAAAGCATGCCCCTAAGCCGCTGTACACTTAGATTCAAGGGGGGAGGGAGGGGGGGGGGGGGCAGTACAGACTATCACACTACCCACAGTATAGTGCATGCTGTTGTTCAAATGGGTGGAAAGGTACAGCATACTACATGTTTTACGACTACCCCGGTGTGTTGTAGGCAAAATACAATTCACGGCAGGAAAGCTGGCTCAAACTCACCCGCTCCGTTATCAAGCAGCATCTTCACGCACTCAATGTGATTACCACGTGCAGCATAATGCAGTGGAGCGTAGCTGTTGCCATCAAGGGAGTTGGTCGTGTTCATGGGTGATGTATCCAGTATGTGTGTCAGCTCCATTACCATCCCATCACGTGCTGCCTGTTGCAGCGCACCATCAGCCACATGCCAATGTACATGCCAACACCGTGAATAACACACACACACACACACACACACACACACACACACACACACACACACACACACACACACAGGATACAAAACAATGCCACAGCAATCAGTTGCATAACAATGCAAATGATTGTGACTCACAGATCTCAACATGAGTTGATACCCAACGAAGCACAAACTTTGACGCCGCATGACATACTAGAGATTTGAAACAAATGCTCGATGAAGGGAGTGAAGGTAACTATTCCAAGTACCGTATTTACCCTATTATCAGTTGCACTTGATTATAAGTCGCAACCCATTTTCAGTTCTGAACCAAATTGTATCAATGCATTCACATAAGTATGAAGTCACATTCGATTGTAAGTCGCAACCCCTACTTTGATCTTCAAGTTTAGTGTAAAAGGTGCAACTTACATTGGGGAAATATGGTACATGAATAATATTAGGATACCTCAACTCTTAACGCTCAGAATACAGTCTCTTCGCTACACACGTCATTTGAACTTTTCACCAAATTTTCGGGCATGGCCCATCAGGGAAAAACAGAAAAGCTTATGCGAACAAACAACGGATTGAGTAGATATGCAAAGAGGTGCTGTAGGAAAGTGCTGAGAAGAGTGTGGAAAAGAAAGTGTGCAATACACGCGTGTATAATGTATGTGTAGAGAGTAGCGGTACTGGTGCAAGGACGTAAGGTGGTGGGAGAGAGGGAGAGAAGTGGAGGGCTGTGTGTGTGTGTGTGTTAGTATGCTAGTGTCCAAGTGTAAACATGGACGGTGGTTGGAGATGGCTGGCCACAGTGTGAAACTTGATGTTTACTGGTGTTGTGCTGGACTGTGACGTTGCACACAATAATGTTCAGTGTGTATGTGTGTGTGCTACCTGGTGGTGCCATACTTAGCAAAAGTTCATCTTCATCTTTGTCCTCACACGCATGGCTGCAGCTACACTGCATGCATTATTCTCCAGGTAACACAGTCACATTCACTAACACATTTCCGTGGGCACATCTACAGTCGGCACACATGATCAAGTTGATGTTGTCGCATGACTCACGTATGTAAACAATGGCAGGCATATGACATTGTAGTGCAATATCGCTTGTTGGGACGCATCGAATATAGTGATAAAATAGCGGAAAACAAATGGTACGTTATAGCCGATAAAGACTGTATTTTTGAATACTTGAACCATTAGTTATGTTGACGCAATGACTTGTCAAGTTATACAGTGTTGGCCAAAGAAATCCAACCTCATGAATAAAGTAGCGCCGCGTTAGAGAGCACAGACCAGTGTGTGTAGTGCTAGTGCTGCGCAGCGTGAGCGCCCGACAATGCTATTTTATTCATGGCGTTGGATTTCTTTGGCCAGCACTGTAGTTTATGTAATAGTGACATCATCGCCCAGGTGACATCATCGCCCAGGTGACGTGCTGCGGTAATGCCATTATTATGCATAGGCCCAATAGGGTATGTGTGCAGCGCCTTATCATGGTTGTAGTTTTCATGGCCTGTACGTGAGTGTAACCTAGGCGAACGCAAGGCAAACACATGTTTACCTGGTGCAGTGGATCCGACCCAGTGTCGACTGCGTTCCTCAACGCCAGACGAGCGGCGTACATTTGATTAACGAAGAGAGAAGCTTGTGAATGCTTGTGGACAATAGAGCGCATCAGAGGATTTGTTCTCCTTTTCACGGAACTGCTGTCGCCCCTGGCTCCCGGTGGCAGGGTAGTCCTGGGACCTGCAATGGCCACCATTGGATCACCAATAGTCTGTAGTTCAGTGCCGGTGCCACCACCACCACCGCTTCTACCAGCAGTACCGCTATCGGCACCACCATGGCTACTGGCGGGTGACGTGAGCATCTTGCCTAAACGCCGTGAGCCATCCCGCATCATGGCGTACTCGCCGTCTTCCCCACTGGCAGCAACGAAAGCTCTCTCCCTTCCCTTGCCGAAACTGGTGCTCAGGCGTCGACCAATGCCACCGAGACCCGTTGGAGAATCGGAATCATCCCTGTCTACCTCAAACCGAACAAATTCTGACTTCACCTTCGGCTTTGACTTTCTCTCCCTCTCCTCTGCCCCACGCTCCCGACGACTCATGATTATGATTGCAGCTATCGACCTTTTTTTATAGACCTCCTACAGCTGAACAAAGGGAAGCAAAGCGGCTTGCGCCAAGTAACTTAGTTTAGGAGCTCAACCACTAGACTAGAGTTCACAAGGCCAAGGACTAGGTGAATCTACACGTGCGGTGTTGCAACGAGCCTCTCAGCGGCTCTTGTGCCTCATGTCCCTTCATTACTAATGTCTTGCAAGTCTGAACAGCTACAGTATCCTTTTCACAACAAAATCGTTCACACTGTAGCGAAAACAGTCGATGACGCAAACCACCAAACACCAACAGTGACTCAGTTTAGTCACCAAGGTCACTGCATGATTGTAGAAACTAGCATGGCAGTGTAGTACTATTACTACTATGTGGTATGTACAGTCTAGTCTAGTCATGTACAGATGTGATTATTGCACTTCAAAACAGAAGTCTGAGAAGAAGTCTTCCACCGTCCTTGTTGACGTTGTAACATGCTGTCGACTGTCAAACGTTCACTATGTAAGTATGTTTGTACATACATGCAGACTACGTGTATGAGAAAATCTGTGGGTGCAAACCAGGTACCACTCCCCGGATCCCTGGGCCTGGTGCAAACCTGCATGCATAGCGCATAGTCAGGACGCCCCGTTTCTAGCGCGACAAACACCTCCAGAGCACCTAACCTGGCACTTGGCAGCAGCGGGAGTCAGTGTGTCGTGTGAATGCAGATACACTGTACTGAGTCTGAGGGTCGTGGACTGTCACATCCGATCATCTAGTCGCACGCCCGCGCGGGGGACAACAATACCAACTGAGATCGTGCGACTTCGGCGGTACATACTAGTATTACTATTACTCAGTATTAGTCTATTACTAATCCGTAGTAATCGTAGAAGAAGGACTCAGCCTCAGGTATTTGTCGCGCTAGAAACGGAGCGACAATACTTCGTTCGCCAATCTCCACCACCACCCGTCGTCTCACCTGGCTTCAGGTACTACTGTACAGTAGTAGATCATAAGATGATATCTATCTGAAGCCAGGGAACAATACCGTGACGACAATGTCACGATAGATGTACCCATGGCCAATCGGAGTTTCGTTTTTCTGAAGAGGTGGCCTTATCGGCCTCTGCAGAAAAACGAAGCTCCTCGAAACTCCACCTCATCCGATGGGAGTAGAGAGGTGGATTAGTTCCGAAGAGTTTGGCTACGTCACGTAGTAGATCTACGTACGTGGAGATGGTTGATCTGATCGGACGTCATCATCGCCATGACAATTCCACAGAAAAACTCTAAAAACGATAGAAACCGTTCAGATGGGACACTTCAACTGATTTGTTTGAACAGTTGGTGAAGACAATTCGAACGCGGCTAAATGCTGACTTGGATTGAACGGTAAAACTGGAGTTTAGGTACTTGTGTATCTACTGAAAAAGGATGAGCTACTTCTGGACAGCCCGGCATCGGCTGGCCTGTCAAACTGCACGGATAAGCCCTGTGACCATTGATTTGACTGTCTCGGCCAGCACTCTATAATAAATTATGGTACGGTATCTGTGCACCGTATGTGCCAGATACGGTGTGGATATGGAGATTACATGTTAGCCATCTGGCTGGTTTTAACGGTCATTGTTTTCGCCAGGTTTGCTTTGAATTTTTGGCATTTTATATGATTTTTTCGGTTAGATAGATTTCGGTAGATCTTCCAGGTTTCGTGATATTTTCGAAACTTTACTTCAAAATTGATGGATTTTTTTCTGTAAAAATTCCCGATATTTTGCTTAGAGAATTACCGGCAAACTTTGCCTACAAGTCATGATTCAGGCTGTTTTCCCTAGGAAAGGTAGCGAGTATTTTGAAATACACTGTAAACTAAGTACTTGGGCTATTTTGAAGTATTTTCTCTTCTTCTTTCGATTACAATGATTCTTGCTTTTAGTTGCACTAAGTTTTAGATTGCTCAGGAGAACAAGCGAAGAAAAGACTTTGTGACTTGGTTTTCCCATTCTTCATCAATCTCAAAGTAACCCCAAATCTATTAAAAGCAAAGATCATGCTTTTCCCGCGACAGCCGAAATTCCCAACTTACTTCCCGCGGCCAATCGCCGGATATTTGACAAAAAAGGATGTCCATCCATTCCCGTGGGAACTCATGCACCAGCACACCCAAAACAGAACACCTCTTCTACAAAATTTATTTTAACATTTTGGGAAAGCGGAACTGAAAATAGATGTGGTCACTGGTCAAGCGGATGGCACAGGGTATGATTGTCGAATGCAATGCACCATGCATTCGAAGTACCGATCCTGGTGCTCCTTGAACCGCTCACGCCACATAAATTCCACCAAGTATGTGGGAAATAAGGTGTCAGATGTTCCGAACATGCGTTTCAGCTGCCGCTTTGCTCTCATCCACATATTCTCCACGTTGTTGGTATGGACATCGCGGTCATTGGGGTTCACGAAGTTAGCTTCATGAATCACAACATCATGTTGAAAGATGCCCCCATGTATCGTCGAGAGATTGGCATATGCAGCCCATCCATCCGACATGATGCGTGTCCCGGGGAGGAGCCACTGAGCTATTAGGGCAGTCAGTGTTGCTGCCGTGCGATCAGGAACAACTTGCATGATGCAAGTTCCGGTGTCCCTTTCGATTGCACCAAAGACCCAGTGGCCGTCTCGAAGAAAATTATACCAATCAAGGAGTGGCTTCTCCGTCACCTTGTAACACCTTGTAATTTCCTTCTGCGGCTCTTGCTTGGCCCAGAAGACGATGATCTTCATCAATAAATCAAGAGGCAAATGGCTCCGTTGGAAGAATGAGCCAACACGAACGCTCTTGACGTAGCTGTCACGTTGGCATCGCCAACGATATCCATCAATGCCTCCGTTATACACTGAAAAGGTACAGCGTTGATTGCACGTTGGACACACATGAACGTTAGCAATCAAGCCATAACGTGCCACTAGCTCGATTCCACGCCCCTGACAGAACTCGATGATGATGGTGTCAAGGAATACTATCCCCTCGAGCATACCGTTGTAATCCAATACTTCCTCAGGTGGAATAATAAATTTACGGGGAGCGGCCATTTTCAATACTGAAGGGAATTTGAAGTGTTTCAGTTTTGCGGTTAATCAAGAGAAACGAATGAGAAACAATTGAAACTGCTCAGAGTCAACGCAAGTTGCACAGGCTGTTGGGGCCGACAATCGTTCTTATAAGGAGCTGAAGAACCCCTCGGAATCATGGAATCTCCATATCCGTTACGTACATGTACATGATTGTATACATGTACAAGGTGTTAGATACATATCTAAACCTTGTTCTAGTTTACACATGTTGAATTATTGTTGTATTGTTATTGTTGTTGCTTTGTTTGTTTCACTCTGTTAAACCAACAACATGACTGTACATGTACACGGTATGGATATGGAGATTCCATGAGACAGGCCAGAGAGTCGTAAAATACCGGGTATTTTACGACTCCCTTAGTCAGGCCGCAGGGTTTTCCTCATACGGTGCATAGTAGGCCTCGCCCAAATATGCTAAAAAAAGAGCATATTATGCTCGTCGCATATCAGGGAAAACGTCCATAATATGCCAAAGGCTTAGCAAGATATGCAAAAAGATATGCCAAAATATGCCAAAATATGCTCGACATAAGCAGAACGTGTAGATCATTTCAGTAAAATTACAACCTTGGAATATTCATTGGCTTCACGGCTATCATGCTTATGGTGCAAATCAAAACACATGCGGAATAGTATGGCTGGGGTGTGTCCCCAGCAACCGTAATGATAGTGTTCATCCATGGGGGAATGTAGCAAACATATTTATTTTGGTCGAGGACTTGTGCATAGCCATACGTCACCGAAGGATGTACCCAGAGTGCTTGACAGTGCTCAACACCACAAAGGCAGAGCGTAATACACAACAGAACAACAAGGACAATCAAGGCTTGTTTGCTGCTACTTCAAGTTTCATGCTCACGCAATCATCAGGCAACAATGTTGCCTGCACGCAATCATCAGGCAACAATGTTGCCTGATGATTGCGTGAGCATGAAACTTGAAGTAGCAGCAAACAAGCCTTGATTGTCCTTGTTGTTCTGTTGTGTAGCCATACGTCATGTATTCTAGCAATTCAAAAATATCCAGCAAATTTATTTTGGAGGAAAATCTCTGTGCATGTAACCATGCATCGGGTGACCACTTGACCACTTCCGGCGAATATATATTATATAAATTGTTATACACACTAGTCAGAACAACAGATGGCTTGATCAGTCACTGGCATGAAACTTTAAGTTGTGACTGACCACCCATCTGTTGTTCTGACTAGTGTGTCACGGCTCTACCTTCCCGGTATCGAGCTCTCTTGGATTTCTGCTGGAATTCACAACAGTATAATTTTTTATATATATAAATATTTATTACAACATCTCAAGACTCGGTGGAAACACCGGCCAATGTTAAGAGTGGGTGATTGCCAACCAAGGCGATAAATAAAAATAAGGGGAGGGAAAAAGAAAGAGTAGCAAAATGAACAGCAACAACAACTCCGTAAAGAAAGATAATGCCAAATAAAAACAGTGAAAAACACAGAGACGCAAAGGACATGTGGATAATGAGCGAACACGACTTTATAAACATGAAATTCACATTCAAATTCAAATTTGGAAATAAATCCGAAAAAAATCATATAAAATGCCAAAATTCAGAGTAAACCAGGCGAAAATAACGGCCGTTAAATCCAGCCAGATGGCTCCGGCGTACATGTACATGTATGGAATCTCCATATCCACACCGTATCCGGCACATACGGTGCACAGATACCGTACCACATAGAGTGCTGGCCGAGACAGTCAAATCAATGGTCACAGGGCTTATCCGTGCAGTTTGACAGGCCAGCCGATGCCCGGCTGTCCAGAAGTAGCTCATCCTTTTTCAGTAGATACACAAGTACCCAAACTCCAGTTTTACCTTGAACGAGACTTCGACAGCCGGGAAGCATTACCTTGACCTTGTGTTCACCAGCGCTCTCCGAACACACCGAAAAGATATCCACTTCAGTCCAACAACTGTGTGGCCGCTGTGGCGTGAACTGAAGCGCATTGATCCATCCAAGGCAACTGGCCCGGACGGGGTACCTGTAGACCTACTGTACATAGTACGGGTGGTGAATATATGCGGTAACACCCTAGCACACTGCACACCAAGATTACCCCAAGAGGCCTATTAGGCCCCGCCACAGATGACATACGAATTGGCTGTGGG